TGGTATTGCTGAACATTTTTCAATCTCACACAGCTTTTGATGTGAAATGCTAATTAGAAAAGAAAGAGAATGAGCAGGCAGATGCTTTCTTGAATTGCATTCATTAGAATTTGTCAGTCCGATACTGAAAAGACATATTTTGAAATGTGGTCAAATGCCTTCAAATTAAACAGGATCGTTAAGAGTTTGGCTAGAATTTCAATTTTTAACAAAACATCATCTTTCATTTATTAAGTACAATGTCTGCTGGCATTCACCTATCTTTCTACAAATTGATGCTGAATATTCTTATCTTATCCTATTAATTTGACATTGGACTGATTTTTAATTTAAGGTTCACTGGATTCTATCAAGTTGTGTGCCTACACATCCTTCTTCTGCGTGTGATTACAGGTTGCTAAATTCACCCATGATATCTCCATTTTCACTGAGGGGATCCTGATGATGAAGACCACTCTAGTTGGGATCATTAAGGTAGATGATGTGATATTTGGACCTTTACTTTTAGCATGGTGATAGAATATTAGGTTCTAACATGCAGGCAGGGATTTGGCGTGGGCACATCTTCCACAGTGCATCTCAAGAGTAAGTTACTATAGTGTTTTTTACCTTACTGACACAATGTGATGCTTTAGGTGGATCCTAAGCAGCTTCTGGAGGATGGCATCAGGAAGGAGCTGGTGAAGAGGGTAGCTTATGCTCTGCATAAAGGATTGATCTTCAACCCCAAGGCTAAGGTCAGACGTAAGATTGGTCGAGAGTTTCATAGTTTTATACTTTATATTTTTAAGTGTGTGCGCAATCTTGAGTGCAAGTTTGTGACATTTATAGTGTGTGTGTCAAATCAAACCACTGAATTACTAATGTTGTTTCTCCAGGACACAAGACAATTGCAGCTTTTGCTCACAATACTTATTTAAACCACGATCAAGGATAACAGCAGTGGAAAATTAAAAGATGGGACTAAACAAAACTTTCCCCCTCTCTTAGCCTAGTGAACTGATGCCCAAGTTGAAGGAGATGGCGGCCACCATGGATGGGTTCTACCGGTCGTTTGAGTACATCCAGGACTACGTCAGCATTTACGGCCTTAAAATCTGGCAGGAGGAAGTGTCCCGCATCATCAACTACAATGTGGAACAGGAATGCAACAGCTTCCTCAGGACCAAGGTCAGGCTCAAGACAGTAGAATGCTTTTTACTATTTCTGATCATATTGCTTAATATTGACATCACTTCAACGCAAGTAACGCAAAGTAATGCTGTGGTTTTGTGTATTTGTCAGTAAAAAGAGTTGATTGATTGGTTCTTTCCCTGATTCCAATCAGATCCAGGACTGGCAGAGTGTGCACCAGTCCACCCACATCCCCATCCCGAAGTTTCCCTCTGTGGATGAGTCTGCCACCTTCATCGGTCGCCTTTGCAGAGAGATCCTCCGAATCACTGATCCGAAGTATGTTTCCTTAATTATTACTGTGAAATTAAATTAGAAGAGTTATTGCAATCCTATGAAGTATTTATTTCTCTCTCAGAAGAACCGGGCTTTAATCTTACTTAACCCTAACAAACATTGGTCCTTACAACAGGGTAACGTGCTACATCGACCCGTTGAACACATGGTATGACCTGAAGAGCCACCAGGAGGTCACCAACAACAGGCTGTTCTCTGAGATCCAGAACACCCTGGGTACATTTGGCCTTAATGGGCTAGACCGCCTGCTCTGCTTCATGATTGTCAAGGAACTTCAGGTAATTAGCATATAAAAAAAGTTTCCAGGCTGTGCGACAAAGCTACCAGTAACAGACCACTTCCGGGTCTGTAAGGGCTTTTATAGTGTCTTCAGTGCACATTGTATGCATACCAGATATATATCTGCACTGTTGGCAACCTGTTTCTCCCATCAGAACTTCCTGACAATGCTTCAGAAGACCATCTTGAGGGACAAAGCTGTGGTGGATGTTTTTAAAGCCGTGCTGGGTGCTGTCAACCCAGTCCAGGGCATCGTGGGTAAGTATTCATTTAGGAAATCCTACAACCGACAGGGTATTGTTGCTCCTTGAGAAGAATCAATTTGTTTTTTCTTTAACAGCTAATGCCAGTAAAGTGTATGCCAGTGCTGTGGCCAAAACCCAGAAGATCTGGGGCGCATACCTGGAGGCCATCATGAAGGTACTGGTCCATGATATTATCTAAAGTTGTAGAAAGAAAATGATTATTAATAACGTGAATTTAGATTTTCATGGTATGTACATTCGTTGAAGATGAAACATTAACTGTCTCTCTCCTGTATTTCCGTGCCGCTGTTCATTGTCTGCCATCTGCCAATGCCAATGGGAACATGATGAAAAATAATGTTAAATACATGTTTTTGTTGTAGGTCGGTCAGATGCAGATTCTCAGACAGCAGATCGCTAATGAGCTGAACGACTCCTGCAAGTTTGACTCCAAACACCTGGCTGCTGCCCTGGAAAACCTCAACAAGTCAGTCCAGCCTCACAACCTCAGAGCATACAGTACCACTTCTCTAACATCTCTGTAATTGTGTTACAGTGTGGTTGTTATTACTGTTGAGGGGAAAGTAATACTTTTATGAAGAGATACTCAGGTGCTGTATGTTGCTCTGGAATGTTTCTTATATTTATGGCATTTGGACTTATGATACACATATATAATACAGTATGTAAATGCTAATTATTACCATTTCTTTTGTCAAGTACTAGTAGTATATTAATGACTTAATGTTAATGCTCTTGCTGTTTGATGTATGAAGAAAACATGTGATGTGACTTTTCCTAATTAGAATTTAAGCACAAGTACTAGTCGATCAATAATTACTGCTAAATGTTACTGTTGTTGTGACCCTGCCAGGTCCCTGCTGGCTGACATTGAAGCTCATTATCAGGATCCGTCCCTGCCCTATCCTAAAGAGGACAACACTCTTTTGTATGACATCACTGCCTACCTGGAGGCTGCTGGCATTCACAACCCCCTCAACAAGGTCTGGAGATTACGGGTGTTGCTTTTTACACGATAATATGATTAGTGTTTGAAATAATAATTAAGTTTCAGAACCTCAAAAGAAACCCCAAAAGTTCACCTGTGTTTTTTGCGTCTTCTGTTTATCACTCTGTCTCCATCTGTCGTTTTACATTGCAAAATGCGCTGACCATTTTTCTTCTGTTTGTTTCTCACAGATCTACATCACAACAAAGCGCCTACCTTACTTCCCCATCATCAGCTTCCTGTTTATTATTGCTCAGCTGCCTAAACTTCAGTACAGCAAAAACCAAGGCATGTTTTTAAAAATTTCAGCACTATATTACAGCTCTTATCCTACTGTTGTTGATGAGTTGTACAATTATGAGTTTCAACAGGTCTAACCAGTGGGCTGTGATAGTTGGTGTTTCAAAGAAGCTTAATTTTCTAGATTTGTTTATCCATCACATCATCAGAGCCACATGTGGTTTTATTGATATATAATGGTAGGTGTCATTTTCAGCAGGAACCTTTACCGCTCATATGCTCAGAGTCATAGTTATTCTGAGAAATATAGGAAGTCAGTACTTGGAACGTGAGCGCACTAGATTCTTGGTATATTTGTGATAAATTATGTGGTGGATTTTTCTCTCAGTATTCAAGACTTAATGGTGTGTAAGACTGCATCCACATTTAAATGACCACAAGACTGATGTCTTTTGTTTCCCCAGGAATGACCTGCAGGAAAGCCACAGACCCAGTTGACTGGCCTCCGCTAGTGCTCGGCCTGCTCACCCTGCTCAAGCAGTTCCACTCCAGATACACACAACAGTTCTTGGCTCTTATTGGTCAGTTCATACGCTCTATCATGGAGCAGTGCACAAGGTAAAAAAACAAACAAACATGGCTACTACTACAATAACATATTTAAACAATTTCTTTTGTATAGTTTGTAGAAAAGATATTGCTTCTCTTTTACCTGAGTAGTTTTGAGAAATGTATCTTGCTATGGCTTTATGAACTCACAATTGATTGATTAATCATAGTCAGAAGATCCCTGATATGCCTTCTGATGTGGTGGGAGCACTGATGTTCTTGGAAGACTATGTGAAGTACACAAAACTGTCACGCAAGGTAGGCCAACTTTAGCCTTAGTAATGTTGTAAAAATGTGGCAAATGACAACAATTTACATTAACTAGGGGTTGTAGGGAAGCTTGGGCTTTTATTTTTTGATGGTTCTACCTTAATATATTTCGCAGGTGTATTGTTTTACTGTAAGATGTAATACATTTCAGCTGTAAGAAATGATTAATAATACAGCACCATGCCCTGAATGAGACACAGCTATAGACATTTTAGGACTATGTCTCGCATTTTTACTGTATGTACTGTGGGATATTAATGTGTATTTATTTTTATTTTCTCTGTATTCTTAAGGTGGCCGAAGCCCACGTGCCCAGTTTCATTTTTGATGAGTTCAGAACAATACTGTGAAGACCTGGATGAAGCGTTTCATCAGAAAATTATGCTTTTGTTGCCATAGACTTTTTTTCACTGCCGACATTTTGACTTGTCATGTTGGGAAAAGCACAGGTGTTACTAACAAGATTAACGATTGCTTCGATCAGTTCAAGTGTTCCAGTAAGCCGCTTCAGTGTGACAGTGACCTAGGATGCACATTACCAGAATCTTGAAAGTGAAGCAGCTAAATAGAGTTGAACCTTCATTCAGTTCATGGTTTACAACTGTGCTTTAATGTCTTCCATGAAAACGCCCATTGAGTTGTTTACTTACACATTTAATTACCCATTAATGTCTTAATGCACTAATAATAGATTGTACATAGATATAAATGAATAAATACGAATGTTCATAATACATTGTTTTGTTTCCTTTCAGTTGATAATTTGATTATTTGGTCTAGGCTTTTATTTTGAAAAAATACACCCGGAAGTCGGACCTTAGCCACCGTTGTAGTTATTTATTGGCGGGTGGTTTGCGTGTTTTCCTGTAATGTATTTCACTTGTATCTTGATAATAGCATTGCTAAAGTACAGCTGACACAGCTGCTACTTCACATTCATACAGTAGCTCGACAGTTAGCTAGTTAAGCTAATCAGATCAGAAGCAGATAACGTTAGCAAGCTAGGCTAACGTGAGTTAAGGCTAAGTTAGTTGGACGTGAGGACAAACGTTTGGTGTGTCTGAAGTCTCAGAGGATAAAAGATACGCATCGTAATGTCTCTTAGCGCCGTTCACGGAACATTATCGAGCTTGAAGTCATGTCAGGCGGACATCGGGACAGGAATGGACATAGTGACGGATGTGGCTATGGACCTGGCGGAAGCTCAGGGTAAATATTGCATCTCTAAAGTAATGCTTGTCACTAGCTTTTTTCCAAAGGCTTATGTTCCAGTCAGTGTCTAACCTAACGCTACACCGTGTCCAGGGATATCCCCAGAAATCCTGGTTGTGATCAAACTATTGATTTAATACGTGCAGTACAGTGGTGAAAAGTAACTTAAGTATATTTACTGATGTAAAAGTTACAGTGCTTAAGTACAATAGTGAGGTAATTTAGGTGTACTTTAGCATTAACTTTACATATATTTCTTTATTAGTCTAAGTTCCATGATAAGTCTATAAAATATGATGCATTGGTATAACTTATTTAGATTAACCCTTTGAATTCTGCCTGTACCTACACTGGTATTTTTGCTTGTTGTGATGTCATTTCTTGGAGTATCTTCAAATGCTTCATATCCATAGAACCATAACAGCCTAAGGAAGTCAGTAAACCATAATATTTGATTGAATTGATAATATTGAAATAGTTAGATCAATAGAAAATAATAGTATACATTTTTTGTTTTCTCACAAAATTTTAAAAAGATGAAAGCACAAAACATATTGATCCAAAGTATTTATAAGTGTAGAAAGATGAACAAAATATATTTTAACACCCCAGAAGTTATTTCAACTATGTACCTTTTTGAGATGTAGTTGTTTTAATGAGCAGAGTGCAAATGTGTTTAACTTGTGAATGTGCTGTAAGTTCACATGGCAGTTCCTGTCTATGTTTACTACTACTACTACTACTACTACTTCTTCTTCTACTACAGTATGCTATAGACAGGCCTACTATGTTAACTACAAACTCAGCTATATACTAAACAATGCTACTGGGGTCTGTTTAAAATTAGCTACACCATGACCAACTACAACATTAAGTCAATTAAATAATGATACTGTAATATAATACAATTCACAGAGGTCGTTTTGCAAAATAAGTACTTTTGTGTTGCTAGTACTTCTGTTTCTTTTTGTATGAAAGATTTTGATTGCAAGACATTTATATCTACTGAAGTATTCTTATGGTGTGATATTGCAACTTTTACTCAAGGAAATGATCTCAATACCTTTTCCATCACTGTGTGCGCTGTTGTGTTGCAGATGCCGAAGGGAATTCTGGCATCAAAGAGATGGAGGCCATGCTTCTGGAGTGTGCCAGGCTGGACAGGGAAATTAACTACTTTGTTGACATTGTGCAACAAGTCACAGCGGAGGTGAGAGCAATCTGGCACGGTCTATTCACATAAGTGGAAAGCCTCAGCAGTATAATGGGGAAGCCCTTATACTAAATGAACAGGTCAGCCTCAAGATGCATTAACGGGATAAGGACTTAAATGTACAAAAGATGCATATAGATTGGTTCTTCGGATGGTCATTCAACACTCATGGTGGCTCCTGCTACGCTGTGTACACCCAGATTTTCTGGAGTGGCAAGTCTTAATGTCAAGGTGTTAGTTTTAAATGTCAGGGAAACTCTGAAGTTATTCATAATTGTAAAAGTCAAGGAAATATCCCACCTACTTCACTTTCTGTAGGTTACTGCACAGCAGCCAGAGGCCATGTTCAGCCTGTCTGCCAAAGTGAAGGAGCAGTTCACAGAGAGAACAGCCAGGATCTCTGACCGTGATCTGCAGAGTCACCCGAAAGTAGCGGCCTTCAAGGACAGCATCAAGAACTCTCTCAACCAAGGTATGGCCTGCGGAGGGGAAAGAAAAATAGTCAGTCAGTCATAGTAATTTATGCACTGCTAGAGTCAATGCAGTGTATTAAGGGAATATACTAGACTTTGATAATAGCTGTGCTTGCAGGAGCGCTTCTTAGCCAAGGAGAGAGAGAAATCTAGGGATGTGTGCTGTTTTTCAGGATAATTAGCTTAATTTGAAACACATAACTCCCTTTGTTTACTGTTGAATAATTATGTTTGCCTATCATCCTGTAGCTGTTATTTTCTGCTTTGTAATTGCTGTCCTTATTATACCCCTTATTAAAAAGGCAGCCACACACAGACAATTCCATATTTTTAGGTTCTCTGTGGACATTATCACTGAAATTACTGCTGCACCGATGTTATTATCCCACTCTGACTCTGTCCCAAAAGTAGCACTGCGTGAGAAAATTTTGAAGTGAAGTGACTTCTATGTTATCATTTCATATTCTGTCAGCCTAGTGTTGTATTCTTTGAAGGTTTAACCCATCAAACGTCGTCATTGAGTGAACAGCAAAAATCACCTCATGTTCCTATTGAGGGGTTATTTATGAAACTTACATTTTGCTCTCTTAAAGGCTAGAATATGAAACCCTGTTGGTTGGAATAATTAGAATACATCATGCAGAGTTGTTGTTTTTTTTTTATACCTTGAGCACAGGATGACCTTTGACTATTCGATGTTTGCAGCTGCGCTGGGACAACAACAGTAGATGTGAACGTGGGCTTAAAAAAGGGAGCGTGCTTCATTTGTGGCTGTGTCAGACGTCTGTGTAACTGTATGAGTGGGTGAGAGTTTTGTGAGTGTATGTAGGTAACTGTGTAATCTCTTAAGCCACTATAAATGTGTGTAATTGTGTGTCTTCTGCCGAAGTAAGCATTTGTCAATGTCAGTGGTAAATTCTGGTCATCTTCATGTGGACAGTGTCTTAATTTTTGTAGATTTAAAAAAAGCTCTGAATTTGGGACATGCCGTATTCTATAGATCTAGTTTCAGCCAAGTCCGTGTCCTTGCTGAATATTCTCCTGCCATCTTGTCGTTGATCCAGTCCATCATGTATCACTGTGATTGGACATTTGGAAGCACACTGTATGCACGTTGTGTTTTCAGCCAACCAAGAGTCAGCAGAGAACATGGAGGAGCTCGATGAGGACATCGCTGTTACACAGAGCCAAGTCAACTTCACCTGCCCACTCACACAGGTAGCAACTTCCGCTGTTACATATTCCCACTGAATGCTTTTTCTTCATTTAGACCATTTCCATCCTATTACATCTCTACCAATTTCTGAGAATCACTATCAATAAAACCTAGAAAACCACCTTGATTTGATGTTTCAGTAGCTGCATTGTGCTTTTGCTTTGTGTGTTTCATTATACAATACACCACTGCATGTCTGTATTCAAGGTGGAAATGGTGAACCCAGTGAAGAATAAGAAGTGTAACCACCACTATGATGAAGGAGCCATACTGGGCCTGATCAAAACAAAACACAGCCAGAAAAAGAAATGCCGGTAAGACACTCTCCCTCGGAGGACTGTTAGAAAGTTGAGTCAGGTTTTGCGGCAGTAAACAACTCGGTGTGCTGGCGTGGGACCAGCAGTCTGCCTCAATTCACATTTTCTTTATTATTCTGCTTTGATGTCGGAAGAAAATTAAATGTGGCTGGTCCTAGAGGAACACTGATTAACTCCCAGTGCCTGGTCTATGTTGTTGTCAAAAGAAACTTGCTTATTGTTTTGAGTCTTAACTGCGGCCACTGTGCACACCTTACATGCGTTAATTATAGCGGCAGCACTTGAGAGCTTTCCTTATTGTGATTGGGTGCATGACTGATGAAATGCTGTTGTACTTGTCCCTATAGTGACTGTCAGGCAAGTCTTCAAAAGTATCAGTGCGGAGTTTGTTTGTTTTTAACTCACACTTTCTCACATTTGTGTGAATTCTTACATTATATTTGTGTGTTTGGATATTCTTTAAATGTGTTTAGTTTCCTGCCCTATCTGTGTCTTCTAGCTGTCCTGTGGTGGGCTGTGGGAACGGAGATGTGAAAGAATCAGATCTGATTCCTGACCAGGTGCTGAGGAGAAAGATCCAGAGCCAAAAGAGACAGGGCACCCGGACATAGTACTCTTTTCTTGGCAGAATCATTCATCATAAAACCTGTGATTTGATGATAATTTTCTGTACAAAGAAAGAAATGTGTTGTTGGCAGTGTTTTGAGACAGTTGTTTTCATCAGTACTCAAGTTGTTAACCTATGTTTTGCCGAAAATCTTAATTTCTTATATTCAGAGATTTGTACCTCCAGGTAAACTCTGCTGTCCAGTTAAATTAGAATTTTAAAATTTATTTGTATTTCAGCAGGAGCGTTTTTGTGTACTCTTGTTGAATGTAAATAAAAGCTGAAGACCTTTTCATGAACGAATACCACCTAACTTGTATTAGTAATTGGGAGTATGGGAAAATCAGTTTTCAAATATTTTTCCGGTTTATATGATGCAGTAAGTTGACAGAGCCACAAGAGAGCAGTGTCTGCAGGAGGACAGAGGAGTTATGTAGTCTGCAGAGCTAGAACAGAAGAAGTTAACTTTTCATTATAAATTCTCAGCTCCAGGTATGCCATTGGATTATTAGTAGAGTTCTGACCATTACTGGCAACTATAAATCCAGGAAGTGCTCATTTTAGCCTGTCTTTAGCCTCCATGACCCAGGATAAATTAATATTGGAAATGTTGAAATCTTTGTGACTTTTGATCCTCCTTTTTAAAATAAAGCAGTTTCTTCTAATTGCAGATAACTGATGCAGGATAGCAGAGATACCAGAAAAAAATACTTTAACAAAAAGTTACATGAACGATCCATAAACAAACAATTCTTTTACATCTGTGGGAATGCACTTATGTGATTAAATCTCCTCCTGCCTGCTCTCACTCCCTGTGAAAGGTCTTTGTTCCAAAGAGAAACAAACAATGACTGTGTTGAGATGAAACTAGGTGAAGCTAATCTTTTAATAACCTTGCATTGGGCTTTTTTTTCTTCAAAAATTCTACTTGCTCTTATCCTCCAAACAGTGCGTCATGCACAATTAAGAGCATTTCGCCAGTGAAGATATTAATTGGCAACAAATGATCTAGCTAATGTTGACTCACTCATTTCTCTACTCTACCTCACTTTGCATTATGATTTTGCAAATCAAATCTTGTTTACTGCACAACACATGAAATCACAAGTAATTTCACAAAAACAGTTCAATTTGTGTAGCGTGCACGCATCAGCATTGCATTGCATTCACCGTATCACAGGCAGAGCCATTAAGCTGTTTTTTTGGATGGACGCAAAGCTGTAAATATCCTCAAATATCATACAGAAAGGCTGTGCTGAGAAAAAAACAACCCAATCAATTCCCTATAGATGTTTGCTTTCTGCTGGTTATGTTTGATCTTGAATTCACATTCATCTGTTCAAAAGCCCCAAGAAGTAGGTGTAATGGCTGCCTGAGACACTGTAAGCCTCAATATCTGGCTTGTCCAAGGTGGATTTTAACTTTGGCTGCAAGTGAACACAGTCTCACTTCCTGGCGCAGAAGTCGGGCAGGAGAGGAGGCGGAACAGATGAGACTGGTGCTGCAAAATTCTGGTTTGATCCAGTTGTCACTCTTTTCTCCTGCTGCCTTTCGGAGCTAACACCAAACAGTTTGACACTTCCCATCGCAAAAGGAGTCAGGTTCCTTCTGCTGTTGACACACTTCTACAGAGTTGTCAAGGAAAGGACATTCTCTCTTGAGGTTGCATGACTTCTCCCTCTGAAGTGAATAAGACTATTTCCTTTAAACCTGAGTTAAGACCTTTTAAAGAAAGTACAGAGAATAGTGCATAAACAAAACAGTGTTTGACACTACTGTTCTTGATGCAATTACTACTTTAATTAGGATTCCTGTGTTTTGTAAGTTGCAAACTTGGAGTACCAGTAGGCTCAAATTTTCACAAGTAGGAAAAACAGGTGTAAATAATAGAATTATTGATGGCTGAATTCCATTTAGAGGTCTGGAGGCAAAATGTGAAAAAGTATGCCCTCACTTTTGCAGCACATTTGATTTTAGGAAATAAACCAATGTTTATGTTTATGTTGCAAAGAATGAAGAAAACTACAGTTAACAGCATTTAGCCTTGATTTTCTAGTCTTTATGATGCTAATACTTAAATTCCACCATGAGGCCCTGTACATACAACTATTTAAATAGAGATTTAACTTATTAACATAATCCGATTCTCCTTATAAGCCTCATTTCATCATAGCACACAACTTTCTGAGTAGCATATGGAAATGATTAAATAACTGACTGGTATACTAACCAGTCACCTGCCCTAAAGTAAAACAAGGTCAGGATTTTGCACAAATTCTTTGTCTAAAACTAATTATCCAGTGTTGATTACTAAGGATGGAATGCAAGCGGCCTACATGAATGTATTTTTCCTCAACCTTTTATCTTCCCTTCATACACGATGTGTCTGCTACTATCCATTCATGAAGGTTTTGAAGTTTTTTATAATTTTTTTTACAGGCTCGCACCCTTTTTGTTATAATCCAGATATACTGGATGCTTTTAGCCAGAGGTTTTCAAAGTGGGAGGCCGGCTTTCCCAGGAGTGCTCCTAACTGTTTCAGGGGAATAAATACTACAATAGTTTTCAGAGGGAGATCACAGAAATGTCATTTGGTTAGAGATAGTTTAGACAGTAGTTATGGGTAAGTTTACGGTCTGTCCCAGAGAAACTAATAAATGCCTTAGTAGTCTGAAGTTGTGTCAAACAGCAGTATGAGGTCTTGGCTCAATTGTTGAGTGTCTATGGAATCAAATAACAATCATGATCCCATAGGTATCCATGAATTGAGCAAAACTAAGCAAGTAAACTAAGAGGGTGTGAGGGGGCACCCTTTCCCAAGCTTTGTCTGAAGTGAGGCCCACAGTCCCTCGTAGAGAAGCCCTGCTCTATGCAGTACGTTTTTGACTTTTTAGTATCATTAACCTCTGAGCACTGTATAGATCACATATTCACTTAGGTGTGTGCGTGGTACTGAGAAGTGGCTTTATCATGACCTTATGTTAAAAATATGTGGGTTTTCAAAAAAGTATAGGCTGGGCGTCACATCTCTGTTGGATATTATAGGCCACAATGAAAAAATAATTCTATGCATTAAGCTATATTAATTACGTTAATTAATTACAGCGTTTAGATGGATATGTTTCTGCTTCTTTTGGTGTAAAGTCGAGAGTGAATCCGGTATGTAAATGAGGCAAAAACAAAAAGGCGCGCTGTCGCTTTAAATGACAACACCTCCCAGCAGTCACTATGCTGGGTGAGTTTCGCTGGCACAAACGCTGAGGTTCATACTACAGTCTGTACAGCCGAGCAAACCACGCACGCAGCCTACCATACAGCTTCCTGTACAGCTGCCAGCGCAGTCTGAAATCCTGTTTATTTTACTGATGTGACAACGGGAGCGTGTGAGAGAGCTGCCGTCACGAGCTGAACTGCAGGTGAGTCCATCTGCTGCCCAGAGAGTTTACTGTGGACTGACCTGAAGAAATTCTACTTTAATTGACATGACACCAGAAGTGTAGGTGACATAGTACGGTAATGAGGTTTTATAAAAAGAAGAAATAGCACTAGTTATCTTTCTGGTGAGTTTCGTGGAAACTGAGCCAACAGGTGTGTCAGGTCACACCTGTTGGTGTAAACTACGCGTTTGACTCACAGATTCAGGCTTCTAATGTGTTCTGAACTTGTTGTTTAAGCTGCTGCCCTGTTTGTTTCCGAACAGGTCGGCGCAGTTGGCGTTCCTTTGGAGGTATACAGCTCGACATGGATTATTGGTGTCCGTCCTCACCACTTTGGATTTAGCGGAGACAGCCCTGCCCTGCGCCTCTTTCCGTCTCTCCTCCAAGTGGGTGCGCAAAGAACAGGTGGATCCTGATTCTGTGCTCAGCTTTATCCACCTCCATCCACTTTTCACCTTTATGGGGAACCAGGTGGAGAAACTAACGCATTTAAATTACGCAGAGGTGCCAACGTCGGATCCGAATGGGTTCGACCCGGACGACGACGGTCCGCGGATCGGCGTGTCTTACATTTTCTCCAACGACGATGGCGACGACGATCAGGACAACAATTTGGACCACTTCCCACCAGGCAACCACGCGGTAAACCATGAAGAGAAGCCCTTCGACCCCCAGGACGAGCTGGAGTGTGCGATTTACTACCGAGAGGAGTATGTCTACGAGAGAACCACCGGAACCGTGACTCACTCCGCGGAAAGTCTCCTGAACAAGTGCAGACCCGGAGACCTGCTGGAGTTTGTGGCCACTGGACAGTATCCGCACTGGGCTGTTTACGTCGGTGACTTCCAGGTGGTCCATTTGCACAGGGCTGAGATAAAGAACAACTTTCTCACCGACGTGAGCCAGGGCAAAAAAGGCAGGATAGTGAACGGCCTCTACAGGTACCGTGCGCTCCCACCGGAGGTGATTGTGCGTAACGCCCTGGACCATGTTGGGTCTAGAGACAGAGAGCTATACTGGAGAAACTCTGAGTGTTTCGCTGCCTGGTGCCGCTTTGGCAAACGGGAGTTCAAAATCGGAGGGGAGCTAAGGATAGGAAAGCAGCCGTACAGGTTAAAATTAATTTTTTCAGAGAAGAAGAGCCACGTCCTGGAGTTTCAAAGCCTGGAGGACGTGATCATGGAAAAGAGGAGGAACGATCAGATCGGCAAAGACGCTGTGATGCAAGAGCTGGCCAACCACCTGAACGCAGCACAATAAATCAAAGAGGAGCATTTTGTCAACAGATAGTGGATGCACTGGTCATCTGGTGCAGATTTGATCTTTAGGTTATGCTCAATGGAAAAAACCTGTCATGCTTAAAAACAGCATGCGTGTTGTTGAGGGAGGATTTATCCCGCCAGTCTATCACACTGCAAACAGAAGTGCATCTTCAGCAGAGTTAATATTCATCTTTAAAATCTTTCTTTGCTCCAAAATGAGTTGCTGATTTGTATGGGAAGCAAGTGAAACATGCACACTGGCAAATATCCTCCACCCTTTAAGAAAAAAATGTACTCACCCAACCCAAGTTTAAGTGACTTGTTATGATGGATACATTTGCATTGGAGCTGCACCTGCAGAGTAATCATTTGGGGATGAATTCAGAATTTAATTGCCCATAATTATCTTTCTAATCCAATTCATCTTTGCACAGAGGAGCAACACCCATCCAATGTAAACTGACTAAGAGTGCCGAAAGCACTTGCTCCTGTACAACTCAGGTGTTTGGAGATCAATACAGAGTGGAAGAGAGTGGACTACTTGCTTTTGTTATTGTGTGTCAACCTGAGGATTCCCTTCTGTGGCTTTACAGCCAATCACCGCACAGCTTTACCCACTCTTTGACTACTTTGTGGAGTGTTTACAGCTATGACTGTACACTTCTTGATTCATCACAGTTTATTTTTTTGGAAACAAAGATGTTTGTATGAAGGAATACGGAAATAAATATATATTTGAACATTAATGATTTTTTCTTTTTAGTGAAGGATTGTGACTGACCTTTTAAATTATTTATGGGAAAGTCTGTACAATGCTAATCAATAATTTCAAACCATGTCTATCCAGAGAAGTAGGAGAGGTTATTCTGTGTTATAACCAAACCGTGCATCAAACACCATAAACGGCAGCATTGTTTTTGCTCTGCACAGATTATTTGAATGCCACTACACCACTCAATCATCACAACCCCAGTTCACACCCTAGAGGAGGCACAGCTCTACCTGTTACGATTGCTGCTTTTTGCTTGTTGTCGTGGTGAAGAGCGTTGGCTGCCCTACAATTAAATCTACTAATGCTGCCAGTTTTGATCTAAACACTTGCCTCAGAGCAGCTGCTGCTCCCTGAGACCACTTAAACATCAGCTTTGTGTTAAGTTGTGTTTCAACCGTGCTGGACATTTTGTTTTGTTTACACCTCTGCCAACTTCAGATAAGTCATTTTTGAAAGTTTAGCCGTAGGCTAAGAATTTTCCTCACCCATATTTGGCTTCCCTCCCTTCCGCTGGAATTACAGCGTTCATTAAATTTCAGGCAAAGGTGCAGTTTTGTATGTGTACACCGACACATGGGCTCAATTTAAGTGAAACCACATTGCCATTTAGTTTCAATAAAGATGCAGTATAAGAAATGATAATATATGGGATAATATTTATACTATTCTAAAAAATATCTATTTTATCTATATAATATTGATATTCCATTAAAAAATAAATTATGTCATCTTAGGAACAGGAACTAGATGCAACCATTGAAACACCTATGGTATTAAATGCCAAAGTCTCAGTAATGTGAAACACTTGATAGTACATTCACATACAGAGGCTGCAACGGAAATTACAGCAGGCTTTGAGGTTGTTTTGAACTGTGAGACATTGTGTTTATTCCCCCCTCCGTGTTTCAGAGGAAGCTGATGACTCCCTCTTAGCCAGTCAGTAGATGAGTTACTTTGCCTGTTTGTTTTCCTCTGCTAATATTTGCATGGAGATAATGCTGTAGTAATTTTGCTGCAGGTAAGGTCCCACTGGACCCAAAGCAGGATTGTCGTCGGCCCCAAGTACCAAATAGGAAAGCTGTCGGAGACATTAGCATTTCTTCAATCCTCTGTGGTGTACCACAGTGACGAAACATAAGTTTTGTGTGTGTATGCGATGTGTATTTATGATAATCAGTCATATTGTTTTTAGCACCAACAAAATACAAGCAGCATTGGTTGAAGCACACATTGTTAAAGCAGCTGCCAGTAGAGTTGTGTAATTGCAAATATTATCTCACATTTTTCATCATGTGTGACAAAGCTGAAATAGAATTATACTTCCATCATATATTACATTCAATTTGATTTTCTCTCCACAAATGTTTTCTGCATATGTATACTGTACAGTATCGTGCAGCTTGGTTGTTAGTGAATTTGTTACACTGCCCTGGGAGTTTTCTTGAACAAACCAAATTCTGTTTACATTACACTAGTTACTCACCAGAACACATAGTGTGTATCCTTGAGGTCTATCAAACATGTTGAATGTATTTTCCTCCTGATAAAACATTCCCTTTTTATATTTAACATTCTGAATTGTTTACATCCATGTTCGCTAGCTTGCAGTCTTATCCTTCACTGCCTTTTTAACACGATGCTACGCTCCTTTGTGTGTTATCTGCAAACTAGCGTGAATCTGGCCACATGCATGATGCAAACAAAACAGGGACCCGCTCATAAAAACACAAGTGCTTATCTACACAGAAATTGAATCAATTTGACATTCAGTGCAAGAGCCCAAGAAAGCCTGAGCCTTTGTGCATCCCTGATAGAACTGTGATGACTTCAGAGAAAGGCCACCATGAGAGTGATCTGTTTCAAAGCCATCTTTTAGCATGATACAAAAAGCGTGAAACCAGGCGAAGCTTTTGGTTTGACATATTGGCTCAGTCATGTCAGCCTCTTGGCCACTGAGTCTGTCATGTTTCCTTTGGAGGGTTGGAGGAAAGCCCACACCCTTCAGGCTGAACTGGCAACATCACAGAAGTTGGGGACATGCCAGAGCTCAAATCAAACCCACCTATGTTTACTAAATGTAATTAACTACAAAAACTTCCTTTGCCACGCAAACATGTCTGAGCTTCAGAGGAGTGTGCTTATGAGGAGATTCTATCTGACAGGCCTACAGGAAGTGGGAGTGTATTTAGGCGTGGCGTGAGGCCACTGTGAGATTGTTATCCATGTGGAACAAACACAGTTTAGCTTAAAGATGGATAGTTTGAGGACATGGATAATTTCAGGGTATCTACTCGACTATTTAGAATATGAATCTCACCTCAGGTTTTTTATTTTATTAGATTGCCAGTTTTATGCCACTTGCTGCTGCTCAGACAGCATCTCTCAACTACTAAGGTTTTTGCCAATAGATAGGATACATCTTTAAGCAGTAAAGAATGGGATTTATGAATGGCTGTTGGGAAAGAGTGTGCTTGTAAGATAAGATAGTAAAACAGATTACTAAGATTAGACCAGCCATTGATTAGCAGTGACATGTTTCAAACTGTTTTTTAATCCACATTTTTAATTCTGATACTCTTTGAGAACCAGGCTACTCTCCGGTCATGTTGACAGTTAACTATTAAATAAAAAAAATATTAATTAGTTTCCTCACCTATAAAACCATCTGCTATAGACAGAGTGCAGTGGGGTTTTGTTTTGTCAGGCTATTTTCACTACCCACTCACCTGAATCATGTTTATGCTTGTGCTTGGAGAGACAGTTCCATTATAATTATGGTATAATAGAAATAATAGAACAAAATCTAACTCTAAAATGAACTACACTGTATTCATTGCCCTGTATTGATCCACAGTGTTGCAACCTTTCCCCAACATTTCCACTGTAAACTTTACTTCTCGCACCACCCACTTACATTGGGTTAATAATTTACATTTAAATGATGGGATGCCCACCAGTTTGACTTGGACTGGACTGTGTTTACTGTTCATTTCAGACCGGCGCTGTACTGTGATTCTTTCTTGTCCCGGCATGGGATCACCGTTTGTTTTTTTAAGCCGCACAATGGCAGTCCGTTCCCTCCCAGTTCCATGGAGTTCTAAGGTTGCTCTCCTTTTTCAAAGCAACATTCCCATAGCCTAGTTTTACTCTATTTGTGCTTCACCTGCTACTGCACAACAAGTACATTTAGTTTGTATTCTACCACACCTACAAGCAGGAGGCCATTGTTCCCTTCCTTCCTTTGTGGTTTCTTTCACTCTCCTAGACAAATGTGGTTTCATAGGACTGAGCAGTAAGTTGTGAAGGTAAAGCTGCAAAGACATCGTGATGGTTGAAAGGAAATAACAAGGAAACAAGAATACCAAAGTAGCAAGTCAGGCTGGGTGAAGATACAAGACATCATGTGTGAGGATAGCTTTTGTGAGACGGTGTAAGAATATCTTTGATTTGATCGATGTGTCTAGTTGAAGAGTTTACATTCTTAGACAACAGGAGCTGATGAGGAGCTTGTCAGAATGTAATCAGGCCCTATTTGAGTTTGAGCTGTGGTGTCTGGTCAGCCAGGGCTGTCTGGGTTACATAAGCAGAGCCAGACAACAAGAAAGGGCCTGGGGAAACTTTCAACAAACTGACCTTGTTTCTTTGGAAGGAGATGGGTGAATGAATGAATAAAAGAAAGACAGAGAGGGATTGGAGGCTTGAGCTATGACCTGAGAGAGGGAACAGAAACCACAGTGGTTATTAAACCCTCATACTTGAACTGAGAAGCGACTGAGAATTGTTGCCTTCAAGCAGTCTGACCTGTTTGTCATTTCAATTATTTATGGCAGGCTGATTCAATAGCTATCAACATTCATCATATCCTGAGTTATCACAGGATATCCTGCCCTGCATCTCCAGCTATACTGAACAACTAACATTGTGTGCATCACCAGACGTTCAACATAGAAAAATTACAATTTAAGCTATTCCATTCATGCTAATTATACAGCTGTGGGCCTTTTTATTTTTCTCACTCACTGTTGTTCTTCCTGTTTTTTCTGTTCTGCCTCTTCGTATTTGAATGCTTTACATAGAATTTAGCTTGTGTTATATTTAAAGCCTGAATATCTAATTAAAGGAAATACTTTTACATTCCATAACCCAATATATACTTATATACGTTAAACATACAATCCCTAAATAAATAACCAGCTTAGACTCGTAAAACAGTGGCAAAGGAGCCACACAGTTTCTGTGCGTGGAGTGTGCTTCACCTGGCAGCAAGAGTCATAATCCTCTGGGAGTCTCTTTTTTTGGAAATTAATAGAGCCTACCCTCATGGCTGTCTTTTCAAACCTTCCTCCCAGATCCCAGGGAATCAAATTAGTGCTTATCAACATTCTTGCTCTTCTTTAATTTTAATTCCTTGTTCCTTGCTCCTGTGCACTGTCAGTTTAATTGTTATTGCCAGAGCTGTGTTTTCATGTGCCCTTTTCAGGTAACCCAATATAGTGTGCTTTCCAGCCCGTTTCTTGCCTCATTCATTCCTTGTTGGCCGTTTTGCTTCCTTCTTGCCTATATTCTGCTAATCTTATTTTGAGTAGTCTCAGGATTATGGCTGTGACACTGACATTTTAACTTTTTGTGCTATGTCTGATCATGAATTGCAGATTTTAGATGACTGGAGAGGTTTAGAAAAGTGCTGTTCCTCCTGCATGCCTCACGAAACTCTTGACCAACTACAGTCATCATCATTTGTGAGGAGGAACCCACAAGCAGGTGCTTGCACTTACTGCATTGTTCTACCAAAACCTTAAAGCAATTTTGCTGTCTTGCAGAGAGGATGAGGGGAGTGATAACACTCTCACGTGCAGCAGCCAGTAAGCTTAGCTTTGCATAAAGACTGGTAAGAGGGGGAAACAGCTAACATGGTTCTGTCCCAAGATAACAAAATCTGCCTCCTACCAGCACCTCTAAAGCTCATGAATTATC